ATCCTCCTGCCTCAGCCTCCCAAGTCGCTGGGATCACAGACATATGCCACTGCGCCCAGCCAGATTCCTTTTATCTCTGGTCCATACATTCCTGGTGAATTTCTCCTGAGTGCCTACATCTGCCACCCCTTGGAAGTTCAGTGCACATTGGTCTCAGCTTCACACATCCTAGCATTCATAGCAGGACTGTTGTTTTCTTCTGTTCTAGCCATGACCTTTGCACCTCAGAGACTGTCCTGCTGTTCATCAAATCTGTTTTCCTTTCCTTTGAGACACCCAGCTAGGTCTGATTTCCCAGAGCTTTAACAGTTGGGTATGACAGTACAAATGGCCAGTAGCAATGTAACCTCTTCCAGACTCGCCTGCAGGAGCTAGCATGCTTGATCCTGCACATGCTCAAGGCAATCATAGAAAGTTAAAGATGGTAGAGCTGTGTCCACCAAGTTGCTGCCAGTCTGATGGAACAGAGCTCTGTGCCACCTTGTGCCAAATGGACTTGATGTGAATGAGAAATCAGTTTTGGTTAGGTCAAGCCATTGAGAGTCAAGGATTGACCTCCTTAGAAGTAGGTGTATGTAACGGTTTGGTTAAATGATTAGACTCTCTCTGGTCATTGGCCTGTCCATATTGTAGCTCAGTCACCTCCACAAGCGAACACAGTGTTAACTAACAACAATAGCAACTCCCTTCCTTCCAGTCTCCAGGCCCCAAACCTTGGACTTTCCAGGAACAGTGGCTCATGTTTGTAATCCTAGCTACTTGGGAGGCCGAGGCAGGAGGATTGTTAGTTCAACGCCAGCCTAGGCAATTTAGCTACGCTCTGTCTCAAAATTTAAAAAAAAAAAAAAAAATTAAAAGGGTTGGGGATGTAACTCAGTAGATAAGTGCCCCAGGGTTCAATTCCCAGTATTTGGAGAAAAAACAAAACTCAGACCCTTGACTGCTCTTGTGCCACTATACTGTATTAGACCTAGTTGGTTGCCAAATCCTTTTGGCTCTAACTTCAAAACATACATGGGTGGGGGTGGGGGAGCTGGGGTTGTGGCTCAGTGGTAGAGTGCTTGCCTAACACGTGAGAGGTTCTGAGATCTATCCTTAGCACCACATAAAAATAATAATAAAAAAGGTACTATGTCTATCTATGACTAAAAATTTATTAAAATAATAAAAAAAACACACACAGATTTGTGGGTGTTTCTGCTCGACTCTGTGATTGTCACCAATGCCCTCCCCCTGGGCTCTGCAGCAGCCTTCACAGGGGTCTCCCTACTTGTCTTCTGGCCTCCTTATAATCTATCTGCTACCAGCAGTCTGCAGGATCCTTTAACCTAAATCAAGTCTCGATGCTTTTCTGCTCAAATCCTCCGATGGGCTCTCATCTCTCTCTGGGTAAAAGCCAGTGAGTCCACATCAGTGCAACAACCAACAGGGTCCTGTGGGATCTGATTCTCTTGTTCCAAAATGCACATCTCATACTGCTGTCACTTCTGACCTCACCTCCTACTACTTACCTCCCCACTGTTCCTCTAATACAGTTGGCTCACTCCTGTCTCAGGACCTCTGCACTAGCTGTTCCCTCTGCCTGAAATGCTTGTCCCTGCACATATTCTTAGTTTACTCCCTTGTCTCCAGGTCTCTGCTTAACATCCCCTGCTCAATGAGGTTCACAGCCTGACCACCTTTTTAAAAGGTGCAGCTCTTACCCTGCCCCAGGCTGGCACTCTGAATCCTCTTTGCCTTGCTTGCCTTCTGCTTTCCAATAATTCTTATCATTTAACATGACATCTAATGGAATGTAACTTCTTTACTAGGTCTATCATTCTGTATCTGATCCACAAGAATAGAAGCCATTTGTGTGTGCACACCTGAGTGTACATGCCTGCTGGGGATTAAACCCAGGGGCACCCACTGAGCTACACATATCCCCAGCCCTTTTTATTTTTTGAGATTGAGTCTAAATTGCTGAGGCTGGCCTTGAACTTGTGATCCGCCCATCTCAGCCTCCCTAGTCACTGGAATTATAGACGGGTGCTACTGTGCCGTGCCTTGACATGAAAAGTTTAAGTCAACTCCAAGATGACAGGTGCAGCTACATTTGAGTACCGTTGCTGCAAGTCACACCAGCTAGAGAAGGTATGGAGATGTAGGGGCTGTCGGGAAATTGTGCATTGGAAAATGAAGCTCATTGAGAAATCAGAAGGGGAAAAATGGCAAAAATAGACTCAATTCCAGCATATGCTTCTCTACAATAAAAAGCCTTACGTGTTTTTCCTGTTATGTACAAATAGGAAGCTTCAAACTGGAGATGTTTTAGAAGGAAAAATCTGCTCAACAGCAATCCAATTTTCAGGCACTTTTTTTTTTTTTTTTTAAATCAAAGCCAGCTGCCTTATGTTATTACTGAACAATTTCAATGCTTTTCTTCTCAGGTGCAGTTCAGGTCAGCAGAGACAGCACTCATGTTTATAACTTTCCTTTTGTCCTGTCTTTCAATTGGTTCCCACTTAACAGAATCTACACATTTTCTATTGTTTCTAATGTTCCCATGAATGGTCTGAAACCAAAGTAAAGGTTAAAAATTCGGCACTAAGCTGGGTACAGTGGCACATACTTGCCATCCCAGCTACTTGTAAGCCTTAGGCAGGGGAATTGCAAGTTAAAGGCCAGACTCAGCAACTTAGAGAGCTTGTTTCAAAATGAAAAAATATGATGGGCTGGGGGGAGGTGTAACTCAGAGGTAAACTCCCCACCCTGGGTTCAATTCCTAGTGTATACACACACACACACACTCTCTCTCTCTCTCTCTCTCTCTCTCTCTCTCTCTCTCTCTCTCTCTCTCTCTCACAAATTGGGCATTAAAAGAATTGAGAGTCTTAGCTGGGTGTGTGGCTGGGCCCTGTAGTCCCAGCTGATTGGAATAATTAGGAGGATTGCTTGAGTCCAGGAGTTCGAGGTCAGCCTCATCAACATAGGGAGGCTCCATTTCCAAAAACAAGAAAAAAAAGTTTCATATACCAAAGAGGATTTTAATAACTGTTCTAATTCCTAATGTCTATCTAGCACAGTGCATTGTATCAAGCCTTAGTAAATATTTTGTAGCATTCTTTTTTTGGGGGGTGGCTATACTGGGGATCAAACCCAGGGGCACATTACCACTGAACTACATCCCTAGTCCTTATTTATTTTGAGATAGGGTCTCTTTAAGTTACCCATGCTGGTCTTGAACTTGAGATCCTCCTGATTCAGCCTCCTGAGTTGCTGGTATTAAAGGTGTGTCACCGTGCCCAACTATTTTCTTGTTTTGGGGAGGATTGGGTCTTGCTGTGTTACCCAGGCTGGTCAATCCTCCTGCATCAGCCTCCCAAGTATCTGGGACTACGGGCACACACCACCACACCTGGCTTTTTGTTATGAAGAACATTTTATATGTGTTTCATTTTTAAAAAATATTTTTTAGTTGTAGTTGTCAATAACTTTATTTTTTTATGTGGTGCTGAGAATAGAACCCAGGGCCTCACATGTGCTAGGTGAGTGCTCTACCGCTAAGCCATAACCCCAGTTCATGTGTTGCATTTTTTACAAAATTTTTTTAGCTGTAGTTGGACATAATACCTTTATGTTTATTTTTATGTGGTGCTGAGGATCAAATCCAGGGCCTCACACGTGCTAGGCAAGTGCTCTACCGCTGAGCCACAACCCGAGTGTTGCATTTTTACAATTGTACCTTCCACATGAGAGAAGTTGAGCTCAGAGATACTAGCTGATGCATATGGGGGCACATTAGTCCTACAGGTGGATGGGGAGAACTCAGGCTGCCCATGCCTTTTCTACTCAACAAAATCTGGTGCCTTAAATCATGAGTTCAGCACTGTGTTGAGGCTGTTCCTTTCTTAAAATCCTATTTTATGGGAGAAAAAAAACTTTACACACACAAGTGAACTTTGCTCAGTCATTGATGAAAATTCCCTTATCATTTCAACTTGCTTAAAATTTAAACCTCTTCAACACTTGAAATATTTCTTAAAAACGTTTCCAGTTGTGTTTCTTGGCAATGCCTAGGGAGGTGCTATCAATGTGACTGCTGAGTTAAGGACCAGGATGCAGCACAATCAAGGGCCAAAGCTTGGTGCCATCTGGCTTCAGGACACAGCCATGCATGTTTTTTTTTTGGTACTGGGGATTGAATCTGGGGATAATTAACCACTGAGCCACATCCCCAGCCCTTTTAAATTGATATTTTTAGATGGTCTTGCTAAGTTGCTTAAGGCCTTGCTAAGTTGCTGAGGCTGGCTTTGAACTTGTGATATCCTCCTGCCTCAGCCTCCGAGCCACTGTGATTACAGGGATGTGCCACCACACCATACCTTTTAGGCATGTGCCACCATACCATGCCTTTTAGGAACTTCAGTACCTATGATTTGGAGTTCTAGCATTCCCTCAGAGGACCATGGTCACAGTAGCAAGAATGGCCTATAGACCCTGGCAACTGGATCACCTGTTGCAACACTAGACTGCAAAGCAGAGAATGGACAGCCTACCTGCATATTTTCATTTTTCTGATTGAACCCAGGATGTCTACCAGTGAGTTGTATATCCCCAGCACTGCGCTCCCCCACTTTTAGTGACAGGGTCTCACTAAATTGCCCAGGCTGACCTCAAACTTGTGATCCTCCTGCCCTCAGGCGCCAGGAGTAAGCCATTGTGACTGACTTTCTCTGTTAAAAGTATAAATCCTGTGTGTGCAAAAAAAAAAAGCTTCTGAAAAAAATATAGAATTAACAAAATGGAGTTCTAATAGAAGTGTGCAGTGGCTGGCTGAAAACCTCCAGAATGGAAGGCAGGCGCAATCAGACCACTGTAATAGTTTCCCTGAAAGGGCCTCAGCCCTTTCCTGGCTACACAGGTCTCTGGCCAGCCCTGGAGAGCTCTGCAGCCAAAAGGCCAGAAAAGGAGTGGCTTCTGCTAATGGGACTCTCTTGATTTAGAAAATACGACACACACACTGCTTAAATACCTTTATTATTTTTTAAAAATTATTTGGACATTGATAGCTCTGCAAAATACTTCTCCCATCCCAAATCCTTAAACCCTTTCCACATGTCCTCCATAAAGAAACAAAATATTCATACTTTGCGCCCATTCAAATCTAATTTTTAAAAACATTTAAGATCCAAAATCAAATATTTTTCTTTCTCAGAACTCGTTAGTAATTTTAAACCACAATGCAACATACTTAATGGCATTTCTTTTTAAAAATTAGCTTATCAGACTATTTTATGAGGAAAAAAAATCAATTCAAGGCCTTAGAATATAAATTCCCTGTTTCTGAAAGCAAAAGACATTGAAAAACCCCTTTGCTCCCCTGGAGTTTGATTTCAACATTGCCAACAGAACCAGCACACGGATTGACTTTCTACTTAACGTTAGGCATTGTCTAGTTGCTTTTGGACTGCAGCTGAAACACTCTATCAACCTTGGAAGGATGGGTGGGTGGAAGGGTAAGTCAGGACATAACAGGGCTGAGGCTGGGGACGGCAGAGTAGAAGCTTTCTGAGCAGTGGGGTAAGAACGGCCAAATCCCTAGGACCCCACCTCATGGCAGGTTCATTTGGGGTAGAAGAAGACCTTGGTAGGAAATCTGCACTAGTCTTTTAATGATGGATTACAAGTGTCAACCAAAAATATTGCACATAGTATCAGAGGCATGTAAACCACTGAGAAGGTTGAGGAAAGAATAACTACAGGTGGAGATGATTCCCCACAGGTCCTTCAAGGACAGAGAGAAAGGAGTTGATGTGGAACATTTGGGAGTTACTAAGAGGAGGTGGAAAAATGCTTAGTCCTGTCCCTGTGACCAGTGGGCAGACTTTGAGTGGACAAATCTTCCTTAAAGACGTGCCTGAAGAGTCTGGTAAAGGTCTCACATCTTTATTTCCCCCAGTACAACTGGAGTTCTTCATTACCTAGCTAAGAACAAAAAAAAAAAAAAAAAAAAAGAATCCCTACGACAGAACCTGGCCTGACTGGTCTACAAAAGGACACCAGCAGTTCCTGTAAATGAGCCACATACACAAGCCCCAGCTCCAACCAGGTTGAGTGGGGTCTGTCTCCCTCGAGGATGCTGGGAGAGGAGGGTTGAGGCAAAGAGGAACGGTGTGTCACATGAGGAAAGCCAGTGCACCCCTTTGTCCTCCTTTACTCTGTGACGTCCCTCAGCTTAACTGAAACGACAGTAAGCATTTCACAAGTGTGACCAGAGCCAGTCTTGGTAGGTTTTTTTTTTTTTTTTTAAATTTATTGTTTTGAGATGGGGTCTCACTATGTTGCCCAGGCTGGTCTCAAACTCCTGGGCTCAAGTGATCTTCCTAACTCAGCCTCCCGAGCAGCTGGGACTACAGGTGCACACCACTGCACCTAGCTTGAGTTTTAAGGTCCAAAAATATCTTGGACTCATTTCTGGAAATAGATGTGAATGATTTTTCCATCAAAGTTACCAGAGTAACTTTTTAGGATTGCCAGGTCCTGATCTTATTGAATGGTCTTAGGACTACAAATTTACATGTCACAAGTGCCCACTGGCTACTTTCCCAAAATCTGCTCCTTTAAGGCTTCCCCTAACATTCAGTCTCAGTAACATACAGTACATAAGTCATTAAAAGGAAAGTCACTTCTTAAGAATAAAAAACGTTCCCTACCACTCATCCTACTGAAGGGCTTTGTGCGTTCTTTTATGCTGCCTATGGACATGCAACCTGTAGGTTGCTCTGCTTCTGTGGGTTACAATGCTTTTCTTCTTCCTTGGGGTACTGGGGATGGAACCCAGGGCCTCGCACATGCTAGGCAAGTGCTCTACCATTGAGCCACATCCTCAGCTCCAATGCTATCTTGTTTTTAAAGCTTTTCCTCTTGTGTTCAGACTAAGTCTTATAAATCACCAGAAAAATGCCAATTCCTCAAAGCCCTGCCCATATTTGTGGGCTACAATTGATGCCAACACACTAAGCTTCTTAAACATTTAGAAAAATTAAAACAAAACAAACAAAACACACACACATACATACACACACACACGCACGCACACACACACTTTGGCACATGAGCCTCGAGTTATTTGAGCATGTTCATGTTTCCCACCCCTCCCTCATCCCACCATTTCAGTCACTGTTTCTGGAGAACAAAGACCCCTTTGGCCTCGTGGAAAGGTCAACACGAAGCACTGTTGTTTTGAGTAGCAAAAGGAGGAGGTACAAAGGCTAAACTGGCCCCAAAACAGCTCTTGTGTTTAGCACTATAATTTATGCGATACTGCAAAACTTTTGTACCAGGATGACTCGTTTCAAAACTGCTGGTTGATTAAATATACATATACATATAGATATAGATATAAAAATTACTAAGTCAACATTTGCTGTTTTCAATGTGAAAACGATAAAATGTAATTCTGAATAATTGTGCATTTGCCATTGGGTCCTCATTAAAGGGACCATAAAAATAATTTTGTAATAAAAAAACTCTTATTTTTAAGTTTAGTATTGCCCTCAAGTTCAAAAGTTTGGAGCAAACGTACTGAGTAAGCAGGTTTGGGATCTGTTCCTGCCAGGGATCTGGAAGCCTTAAATTTAGTGATCCCCACAGCAGGCCCAGGGAACCTGACAGCCACACGCTAGCTTTGCATTGTTAACAGTACAGGGCTCAGGAATGCCCGTTGACCCCACGAAGCACTGGGACCGAAGACTGATGAGGTCTCATTTCATTGGCAGCAAATGCTGCCACAGCTGGCCAACTCTTTGTACAGAGCTCTGGGGGCACAGAAGTGCGCTGGGGCTCTGCATTTCCTTGGGCTACCGGACAAGCAACTGGGGGAGGGACAGGGGCCTGGGCGGGGACCACTGAGCACCAAGGCTGAGGGTGACCGGGGAGCTGACCTTCTACTCGGCTGGAGGCAAGGGCCGAGGAAGGGATGGGCATTTCAGTGATGTAGAAGTTAGCTGTGCAGGAAGGAAAAGTGCGTTTAAGGTAGCTTAGAGACAGATGACGACCAAATTGCCACAGAGAGGGAGGAGGAAGGGAAGTGGCTTCCTCCACCTGCCCCGCCGGTCAGCCACGCTCCTTGGATTCTGTGAGTTAACATTCATGCTTTCTGATGCAAGTCTGCTTGTGAAGAAACAGGAACACACCTCTCCTGGTTCTGGCAGGTACACAATTTTCTTGGCAAAGCTCTTTGTTGCCAAGTTCAGTTTTATTTGGTTGCCGCTCTGAACCGCTGTCACCGGAATTCATAGATGGGTGCGCTGTGTTCAGGGACATGGGTCAGATTGAGGGACTGATACCTGTAACAGAGAAAGAGACAGGATGAGAAGTAGTTACTTCATGCCCACTGAGCAAAGGATATTAGAAAACCCCTAAACCAGAGTTCCTGACAAATCAAATTCTGCCTATAAAGCCAATTCATTTTGTTTTGTTTTGAGATGGGCTCTTGCTGTGTTGTCCTGCTTGGCCTTGAACTCCTAGGCTCAAGTGATCTTCCTGCCTTAGCCTCTCAAGTAGTAGTACTACAGATGGGTACTACAACATCTGGCTTTGCTAATTCATTTACAGTTCACAAGCTGAACCTATTTGATCTCTGTGGGTATATGTATTAATTCTCCTGAACTATGTGTAAGGTGAACAGATTTTAGACATTCTGCTCTAATTATGAAGCAACTGTAGCATGTCTTATTAAAAAAAAGCACCCTAAAACTGGTGTGGTGCAGCATGCCTGTAATCCCAGTGGCTCGGGAGACTGAGGCAGGAGGATCAAGAGTTCAAAGCCAGCCTCAGCAATGGTGAGGCGCTAAGAAATTCAGTGAGATCCTGTCTCTAAATAAAATACAAAATAGGGCTGGGGATGTGGTTTAAGTGCCCCTGAGTTCATTCCCTGGTACCCCCCCCAAATAAAATAAAATAAAATAAAATAAAATAAAATGGCTAGCAATAACTCAGTGGTAAACTGTTCTGGTTTCAATACCCAGTACCACAAGCCCACAAACAAACAAACAAACAAACAACAACAAAACCCCAATTAAAAAAAATGAAATAGTAATAATAAAAGAGCTTTTGCCTAGCATGTATAAGACCCTGGGTTTGATCTCTAGCACTGCCAAAAAAAAAAAGAATATGCATTAGCCATCAGGAATATGCAAATCAAAACTACAATGAGATACTACTACTTCATGGCTTCTTGGATAGCTATAATTATAAAGACATGATAACAAGTATTAGGGAGGGTGTGAAGAAACCAAAACCCTCATGCATTGCTTGTGGAAAAGTTTGGCAGCTCCTCAGAAAGTTAAATATAGAACTACTGTATGACCCAGCAATTTCACTGCTAGGTATATAATCAAAGGAACTGAAAGCAGGAACCAAAAAAACTTGTACACTCATACTCCTATAGCAGCATTATTCAGAATAGCCAAAAGATGGCTACGACCCAAGTGTCCATTAACTGAGGAGTGGATAAATAGAATGTTGTATGTTCATGCAATGGGAAATTATTTGGTAATCATTTAATGAAGTTCTGATACATGTTACAATATGTATGAACCCTTAAAACATTATTCTTAGTAAAAAATGCCAGAGACCAAACAAAAGACTACATGTTGTGGGACTCCATTTATACAAAATATCCAGAACAGGCAAATCTATACCCAGAGAAAGATTAGTGGTTGACTAAAGCTGGGAGGGGAAAAAGAGTGGGGGTGATGGCTAAGGGGGATGGGGTTTCCCCTTATGGTGATGAAAATGTTCTAGGCTGGGTGGGTGAACATAAGGGTCAATGGCAGAGCACTTGCCTAGCACGTGCAAGACCTTGGGTTTAATCCCCAGAAGGAAGGAAGGACATTGGATGTCCCCCTTATCCCCCTAGTACTGGGGATTGAAACTAGAGTGCTTAACCACTAAACCACATTCCCAGCCCTTTTTGAGATAAGGTCTCATTGAGTTGCTAAGGCTGGCTTTGAACTTGTGATCCTCCTCCCAAGTGGCAAACTCTGCCTCCCAAGCTGCTGGGATTACAGGCATGTGCCACTGTACCCCACTAGAATGAATGTGTTCTAAAATTAATGGTTGCACAACTGTTAGTATTCCAAAATCACTGACTTGTATACTTTAAAGAGTGAATTGTATGAAATGCAAATAATCTTAATAAAGCTGTTATTTAATAAAAAGGATTATGAAAAGTTTTATAAACTCATATGAAAACAATAATTACTGGGCAGGGGCTGGGGCTCAGCGGTAGCACACTTGCCTGACTTGTGTGAAGCACTGGGTTTGATTCTTGCACTTCACAGAAATAAAATAAAGCTCTATCAACAACTAAAAATCAATCAATCAATCTGATTTTAAAAAGCAATGATTACTAAAAACCCAATGATCATGACTACAAGATTGGCCACTGTACTAAGAATTTCAGTCTGTCTAGGCTAGGGTCACTCCTGAGTCACCAAAGAATGAAAAATTTCGAAGAAAATAAAGTGCTCTGAGAGGAAATCAGGTGTTTCATGACAGGGCTCACCAGCTAGGTATAGCAAGGTACTTAAAGAAGCAGCAAAGAGGCAGGAGGGTCCCCCAAAAGGTAGCAAAAGCAAGCAACTGAGGTGCTCTTCCGGCTTCACCTTGGAGGAACACAGAGTAGGACTGTCAAGTCACATGGTCTCTAGTGCACGTAGGATGAATACTGGCTGCCAAAAACTCACAAAGGAGTAACTTACATTTTAGTTACTGATTAAATTTGGGAGGAATAAATGTAAAGTCAGAAAGATGAGATGAACATTGCCAAAATTAAATTTATTAAAAGAATTTAGGAAGTATAGCTCAAAAGTAGAGTGCTTGCCTAGTATGCATGAGGCACTGGGTTCCAATCCCAGCACTGCCAAAAATAAAAAATAAAAAAAAAAAAAAGAAGGCATTTTAGAAATGAACTTTTTCATATAATATTTCAGTCTTATTTCATTTAGTCTGCTCTGTGGTTGGGAATAAGGCCCTATTCTGAGCAACTGAAGTCAATTAAATAGGGCCTCAGCACCTAAATAGAGCATGAAATCCATAGAGGCAGGGTGAGAGATTTCCTTTTGGGTGCGATGAGCCAGGGGAGAGCCAGAGCAGGCAGGCAGCATCTGCCATGGCCCCTGGCCACTGAGGGCCTTACCATTCTGAACTCCGATGGTAGTAGTAACCCTCTATGGAGGCTGCTGACTTCTGAAAGCAGATGTAATAGAAGCCGGCAAAGGAAGCACCACTGATGTCTTTGATGGTGTGGTCTGGGACCAGGAACTGCTCCTGCACACAGATGAGGGATCCGTCAGTAACAGACAGTGTTCTCAGACCACCCCTGACGCCTCCCTGTTAAGCATCAAGGGGTTCTAAGGACCATATGAGAAAAAAGTATGACCTTTATATTTTGAGCCACACTTGTTGGGTGACAGCAAGCCTTTGGGTCTCGGCTTGACTTCTGGATAGTGCCCTCATGCGGCTGGAGCATTTTATGTACTTCCATGGCAAACTGTCTTGAGCTCACCAGGATTAGTGACTCAAAGAAGCCCCAAGCACCTAATAGATAAATCAATGACAGTCACCTGCTCAACTATATTTCAGAGACCACAGACAGAAATGACCTGGAAGGAGTATGTTTCTGCTCCAGTTCCCATGAACTGTCACTGGGCTCTTGATCAGCTTTAGAACAGTGAGTCACTTCTGGTCTGTGATAGTTCTGGGAGTGGATTGATTGCCAGGAGACTCTGCGACATCTCCAAAGCTCTACACCTCATCCAAACAACTAGAACAGCACTGATCTTGACCAGGTGCATTACGAAGAGAGGCAAGTTTGCCACTGTATTGGCACCAAGAGCTGAAAGGCCATGTCCTTGCTACTATTCTCCTGGAAAGCCTAGATCAGAAGCCCCAGGGCTTCAGGATATCAACCAAAGGCTCACTTGTGAGTCACCCTGAGAAATTCTTCGAAGACAACTCCATTGCTTTCAATTTTTTTTTTTTTTTTTTGGTGGTGCTGGGATGGAACCCAGGATCTTGTACATGCTAGGCAAATTCTACCACTAAGCTATGCTCCCAAATCTGCCCCCAACCCCAAATTTAAAGACACTCTTATTCAACCTCTGAAGTTATACTTTTGAAACATAATTTAGGGATGGAGATGTAGCTCAGTAGCAGACCACTTGCCTATTATGCACAAGACCCTGAGTTTGATCCCTAGCCCTGCCAATTTTTTTTTTAAGATTTCAAATTAGGACAAAAGATGCTTCTTTTAAAGGTTTAGTTGGCATGCATCCTGTTAGATGGCAAGCTGGGAGGGTAGGGCTCAGCATTTGATCACCAAACCTTGTACCTGTCTTGTAAAGGAGTCATGATCCTCATCCTGCAAACGATTGATTTCACAAAATGAAAATGGGGAACCACTATTCTAGATGCTTTGTCTTTAGGAAAGTCAACAAGATTTCATGCTAAAATAGCTTTCTTCCTACAATAAGGCACTAGGGGATGAGAGTGGTGCATGTCCCCAAAGTAAATTAATAGATCTACTCCAGGATTTTGCTATCCTGTGTCTATACCTATATATTGCTATCAGAGCAGGGAGTAAAAGGATTCCTTGGGCAAGGGACAAACCATTGAATCAACGCCCCGGTTGAGGGGAAAATCTACATTCCATTCTTGGTCCCTCATTTCCTGAGCTGCAGGAAGCAGAGGGCCCTGGGAAAGGGATATGGTAAGGAGACCAGTCACTCTGATGGCATTTAAGCCTGTGGTAGAACAGGGTGCAATGGATGACTAAGTACAAAGAAAGTTGCCCTGAACCCACACAACACTTAGATGATTCAACCTGGAAGTTCAAAGGGATTCCTGGGTGGGAGAAGGGAAAGGAAGAAGATACAAACAACAGTGTCAGAGGGTACCCACCTGGGCACAGCCCACTTGCTGTCAGTATGACCGGAAAAGCCAGCTGGGGCCTCAGCAGTGTGTGCTCTGGAATTGTGGCTGCTTTTTACAAGTGTATAAAGACCCTGCCATGAAGACACTGTTACAAGCACAGGGCACAGAGGCCCCTGACTGGGAGGCCTGCCTTCTGTAGAGAGGTATGTGGAGCACACATGGAAGTTTTGGAAGAGGCCTGGATAGGACCTTACCTTCCACCTCATGAAGACATAATCCCCATTCTTCAGTTCCTCATAGTCAAAGTCATCTGAATTAAATGATTTTGCATACTGATAAAAAGCCAGAAACTTGCCCTGAAAGCAAAAAACAGAGTACAATATTGATCAACAGAGGGAGGGGCTGGTATCAGAACTAATGGCTTGAAGGACAACTAATTCCAGGTAGTAGAGAAGGAGCCTGTGTTCATCCTCAGTGAACAGAGACCTGAACTAGAGGCAGACACCAGGTCTCCAGCTGAGGCACAGCTGAACTACACCTGTCCAGTTAACATAGTCTGAGGAAATGGCTGAAGGATGGGAAATGACTGCAACTTCAAGGGCCTCTTAGAACACCCTATCACAAACACAGGAAAGCTACGAGTAACTAATGAGAAGATCTCTGAAAGTAAATCCACAGGAGCAAAACGAACTATGCAGAATCACTAGACAGCATAGCCACAAAGGAGAGAGGATATAGTAAAATTGGTCCATTGACATAATATAGGAGTTTGGGACAGCAATTTAGGTAGAAATTGCAAACAGATATAATGTGGCTAAATTTTAAAAGGAGACTGTACAGCTATGTGAGGAGGCATATGTCTTTAGTCTTAGCTACTCAGGAGGTTGAAGCAAGAGTATTACTTGAACTCAGGAGTTTGAGGCCAGCCTAGGCAACATAGTGAGACCCTTTCTCCTACCAGCCCCCAAGAAAAAACAGACTAAAAATAGGTTACAAAACTGAATCTTATGATGCCATTTTTAAAAAGACAAAAGAAGGTATAGTCATCCCTTGGTATCTGCAGAGTATGGGTTCCAGGACCCTCTGTAGATATCAAAATTTGTGGATGCTCAAGTCCCTTATTTAAAATGGGATAGCATTTACATACCAACTTGCACTTATACTCCCATATATTTTAAGTCATCTTTGGATTACCTTTTTTTTTTTTTGGTACTGGGGATTGAATTCCGGGAAGCTTTATCAGAGATACATCCTTTTTTGGGGGGGGGGGCGGGGGGCAGGGTCTCACTAGGTTGCCAAGGCTGATCAAACTGTGATCTTTCTGCCTTAGCCTCTCAAGTCACTGGGATAATAGGTATGCGCCAGCCAAGTTACTTCTAATATCTAATATAATGCTATACAAATAGTTGTTTTACTGTATTAACTAGGTCATTATTAACAACCAGAAAAAAAGTCTGCACGTATTTAATACAGATGTAATTTTTTCCCCAAATCTATCTGTAGTTGGCTAAATCCATGAATTCAGAACCCACATATAGAGAGACTAACTGTATATACCCAAAAGAGATTCAGGAAGAGACTAACAGCTGTTTTAGCTTTAGGTGTTGTCATTATACACAATTTTTTCCCGGTAGTTTTTTGTCTTAAATAAATATGTATTGATTTTGTTTTTTAAAAACACCTTAAATAAAAAACCAGTGATAAAAGTTCAAGGTGAGGGCTATGCTAATTATCCTGAATTAATCATTACCTAATGCGTACATTGATGCTGGGGATGTAGCTCAGTGGTACAGCACTTGCCTCTTGTGTATGAAGTTCTAGGTTCCATCCTCAGGCCGGGGTGACCCGTGGCCTTCTTCGTTTTTCTCTCACCCTGAATATTTCAACCCAGTCTAGCAAAGTCTAGTCCAATGTTCTACTGGAAGTTAATGGGGCAACTAACAGATGCTTCCAGGTATTTGATTTGTGCTGAGGACTGAACCGTCACCGGTCTCAAAGACTATGCTTTTTGCAGGACCAATTTGAAATAGCAAAACAAAGTTGCATGAGAGAGAGAGTATGGTTTATTATAAGGATAAACTTCGTACACTGGGGTTTTTCTAGGTGAAGAAGGAGCCACCTGGTGAGGTGGTAAGCCAAGTAAGACAAGCCCAGCCCTAGGCAAGGGTGGGTTCAGAAGCCTACCAACTCTGAGGGACACCATCACACACTACTTGGGCTCCCCCAACCTTTTGGATACCTGAATCTTGCTCTTCTCTTCATATTTTAAAAACACATAAGTGACTATCTAGCTTTTGGTGTTCACTTGCTGTACTCAAAACATATAACTTTCAGAAAAATGTTTTAAAAGGCTCAAGTTAAATTGAACTGAAACCCAAAATTTTGAAAAGCATCAATAAACAAAGTGGTGATGCACAGTGAGGCTGACACAGACAAGAGTCTGCAGCAGTCCTTGCCATAGGCTGTGGTCCCAGAATCAGGGAGAGTTTACTTGCTGAGGTTGTGTGGCAGCAGGAGGAATGAGTTCTAGAATCTTCAATACTGACCCAGTCATCTCTGGTGGGTTTACAATGGTGGATTTACAATGGATAAGAACATTGGACTTTCTCCATATTAAACAAAAATGTAACATCACCATGTCAACTAAGCCAAAGGCTTCAATGATAGGTTGAGAAACAGTTTCTGAACACACAAGACTTGACAATCAGAGAAAAGATACCAGGACAGTAGCCCTATGTTGTTTTTAAGTGTTCACTCTTGGGGAATAAAACATGGTATGTTTGGCAGATAAAAAGTGGGGAGCCTGGATTTTTCCATGGTGTCTGGCTGGTCCTTAGGTTAAGCTTGCTCTGTATCTGTCCTGACAGGATGAAAATAAACAATGTTCTAGCTGGGTGCCATGGCACACACCTGTATGCAATCTCAGCAACTCAAGAGGCTGAGGCAGGAGGATTTCAAGTTTGAGGCCAGCCTTAGCAACTTAGCCAGACCCTGTTTCAAGATAAAAAACAAAACAAACAAACAAAAAAACAACTGGAGATGTAGCTCAATGGTAAAAGGCCCCTGAATTAAATCCCTAGTACTGCAAATACAGAACAAAACAATACAAGGTTAAGTTCCCACTAAATTTCCATCACTGGTATTTTTATCTCAGGTCAACCACAATATCAGAGAGGACTGCTGTTTGTTTCACAGGGGTGTCCCAAGCAGAGATAATTAGAGGATGGACACAGGTAGTAAAGAACAGGGATACTGCTGAGATTCTGACAGCTATCCACAGCTGTATATGGAACTCAGCGGTTGCAATCATTAGCTGTGTGCTATTTAAGAGGAGTTTGGTCAGTAGCTAAACTTTTCAGAAGGAAGATGGAGGGCTGGGGAGATAGCTCAGTGGTAAAGTACTTGCCTAGCATGCACAAGGCCCCGGGTTCAATCCCCAGCATCGCCACCATTTAAAAAAAAAGGGGGGAAAGAAAAAGGAAGATGAAACAACTGGAGTTTGTGTGTGAGAATCAGTTACCCTCTGGCTGCAAAGCCCCAAACGCCTCTTGGTAAGGGACAAGGTCTCTGGCTCCTAGAGTCCCTCAGCTCTCCAGCAGTCTCTGGACTGCTGAGAGCAGAGTCCTACTTACCCAGTGTTTCCGATCAACATCTTCATCGGCGTCCCACTTGCGAGTTAAGAAAGGATGCTTTTTACTGATTATTTCTCCTTCAAAGAAGGTCGTAAGAGTTGGATACTCCTATGGCAAAAGGAAAATATCAAAATAAGATATTGTGATTTATTTTAAAAAATATTTTTGTGCTGAGGATTGAATCCAGGGCCTAGCACACTGAAGCAGTTCCTCTACCCACTGACCTACATCCTCAGACCCTAAATGAGCATTTTAACCTTTTTGTGTGTGTGCACTATAGATTAGGGATAGGGGTACTGTAGTGCTTTCTTTGTATGCATGAGGGCCTGTGTTCCATTTCCAGCACTAAAAAAGGAAAAAAAAAAAAAAACAACCTTATGATTTAAACCACTAATTTTCCTAAGGAATGATTCTGCACTGACAGAATATTAAAATACTTTAGGCAGTGTGTCAGCGTAACTACAAGGTACCCCCAAACTGTGGTAAATTAAATAAATGCTTAGTGAATGAGATTCAATATGTACAGAAGCTACAAAAAAAAGATTGAGTATTTCTCAGGATCAGCACAGGAAACTCAAGCATTTGACTATGTAGCCTAATGGGGAGTAATTTACAGAGGCAAAGAAAAACACATGCCAGCAGGAAGAATATTAGGGGAAAAAAAAAATCAAAGAGGGAGACAGGTAAGCAGCAACAGACCCTACCCCGAGGCCGGCAATGGGTTTCAGTCATGGAAGTCATCAACCAAAAGCTCTCACTGATTCCAGGCTCACCCAAAACTGTCAGATCATGTGTGCATTGGCTTTCCTGCAATCTTGTCTTTTGAGGGATTAACATTCATTTGGCCAGTATGTCAATGAGAACTTCTAGAATAGGCAAGCACCTCATTCCAAGAGTAAATGGGCACTTTTGTTTGTATATCAGTGTCTTGTGAGTTTGGTTAGTGTGTGATCCATCTCTCTGCTTCCAAAAAGTCGAGCATAACCTCGACTGAAGCTTCTAAACTCATCTAAGGAGTTAGTAAAGGGGCCAACCATGGACCCTGCCAGTTGCTGGGCTCCTGGGAAAGGTATAATGGTGGCTGGCTCAGGCATGCATGATGTTATTTAACACAGATTCTTTATGATACTGGGATTTCATTTTAAAAGGCACATGAATAAACCATAAAGCTGTACTTTTGTAAATGTGAGGCACATTATCTTCAATTTAATTTTTAATATTGCACATTGTGACTATTAAGACTAAGACCCACACCATTTACAAGGTCTAACTCAAATAAAGGACAAATCTGATATTCTAACAATTATAAATGATAAAACAAATAAAAAATATAGGTATAAAATTCATTCGTATTAATTACAGTTTTCTGCATTTTACTAATAATCTACAACAACCATACATCAGATATGTAATTTTTACAAGTTATCAAGTAGCTGTACAACTCTGTGAATATACCAAGTCAATGAATTGTATGTTTGTTAGTGGAGCACAGAATGTAAAAATTTAACTTCATAAGGAATCCAGCAAAATGTATAGCACATTGGAATGTTAACTCCAAAGCCAGTCATTTGGGTCATAGGAAGCTGCACAGAAATGATAAGTAACATTAGAAATCTAGAATTCTAATTTAAGGGGGTGAATTATATGGTATATGAACTACAGCTCAATAAAGCTACTAGTAAAGTTATTTTAAAAAATAATTCTGATTATGTACAATTATAATGCACCAATATAAAAAATGTGGGGGGGAAAATCTCCCCACCCCCCAAAATTCTACCAGGTACAGTATTAAACATTCATAATCCCAGTGATTTAGGAGGCTGAGACAGGAGGATGGCAGTTCAAGAACATACTCAGCAAATTAGTGAGACTCTGTCTCAAAATAAACAATATAAAGGGGCTGGGGCACATGCTCAGTGGTAGAGCAACTCTGGGTTCAATTCTCAGTACAAAAAAATAATAATAATAATAATAACTGTAAGCATCTGAGGCCTAAGCAGGACTTGCAAACCTTAGGAAAAAGATGGACCTTTCTTTAACTGGAAGCATCGGTTCATCGCTTAACCTTGATAGGGGTAGACTTGTGACCTTCAGAGGTCATTCTATCTGAAGAGCAGTTTTGCCAAGAGGAATGAGTCCCTACAGTTCTATTAAGAGCCTAAGGTTACCAGGGGGAGGAAGGAAGAGAGGGAAAGAGGAGATACTGGGGAAAAATACTGTTAAATTGTGTGCATGTATGAATATGTAACAACGAATCCCATAAAAGTATGGGGGGAAAAAGAGCCTAGAGTTCCCAGTGGGCTGGCTGCCCCAGTGAAGGGCCATGCTAATCCTTGCTCCTAAAGGAGCACTGCTGTTCCTGACTCACAGGGGTTTCCCTCAGTAAGTCCCTTACTCAGGCAACTTGCTTCCCATGGAGAGATCACAGTCGTTAGAATTTCTGTATACTGTGTCTAGATTTCTAATGTTACTTATCATTTCTGTGCAGCTTCCTATGACCCAAATGACTGGCTTTGGAGTTAACATTCCAATGTGCTACACATTTTGCTGGATTCTTTATGAAGTTAAATATTTATATTCTGTGCTCCACTAACAAACATACCTACTGCCTTACAAATTGAGCATTTTCTGTTTTAAGCTAAAATCCTTTATTGTCACTTTCTACCCCTCCTTGATTGATGATACCTTTTGTCAAAACAACAAATTTCACAGGAAATCCTCAATTCATCTCCTAATATAGAAGAGTAGGTAGAGGTTGGGAGTATAGTTCAGTGGTAGTGCATGGCCAAAAAAAGAAAGAAAGAAAGAAAAGCAAAGTAAAGCAGGAGAACCAGAGGGAATCATCCTCTATTCATATTATATTCTTGCCTGCCACTTACTCTAATATGGCTTCCTCCTGTTAGAAAGTTCACTAAAAATGCAGAGCAGATTTTTGATCCTTACTTTTCAAATGAGGAAACTGAAATTGAGGGAGTAAGGGACACAGCCCAATACTGCTGGATCATCAAAACTATAAGAAGTGATATCAGGCCACAGGACATTGCAGAAAGGTCACATCCAGGCACTCACAGCAGAGCTCAGTGGCCACTCAGCCTTCCTTCCTCTTCCTGTTTACCCACTAATGGAAAAGAAGGGATGCTCTTTCTTACCTTCTAAATACCAGGAATTCTGAAGTTTGAAAACTTAAGATCTAAGGAAGGAAAACACTCTACTTTTACCTATGAGGTTGAAGATGGGACAGCCACTTTTCAATGTTCCAATGAAGCTCAGTTCTTGAATGATTGATGCTTATCTCAGAGACTACTAAACTTATGGTACTTATAGTACCTATATTCTCACCATGTATATATTTATGTGTATGTACATACTTAAACACACACACACACACATATATATATACACACATTTTTACTTAAAAAATATAACAAAATGAATAGTTTTGATCACACTGTGACATATTTACAAACTTTTCTTTAAATGATTTATGAGGGGGCAGAACTATGGTAGAGCATGTGTGCTTAGCACACCTCAGGTCCTAGTTTCTATCCTTACCACCAAAGGGGGAAACATTTGTGGATGTGTGTACTTCTCTGCAGGACACATCAGAACTGCACTGTATGTTCCCTATATGATAACAATGCTTAGAAATGGAGTTGGGATTGCCTGCCCTCAACCCTGCGAGACTGCTGAGTGTGCCACCCACTTCCCAGTTCTAGCTCAAGTGAGCAAGTGCTTACCTCAGTAAGGCCTTTAATCTTCAGGTATCCACAAAGATAAGAGTTCCCTGTGTCCACGTGCTGAAAAGAAAAGGACATACAGACCATTACACACGAATGAATACACCTTGGACATGCTGGGGGAGTACTCTGGAAACCCTGTGAGGCTAGGCTAGAGCAGGTAGATCTGGTGGTCAGTGCAAGGACAGTGTAGCCAAAGGTTCTACCAGCCTTTGGGACTGCACCACTATACATGTGCCTGTTCTGACAATGCAAACTGATCTCGGGGCCCTCTCAACTTCCTTAAGCTGGAATCTTGGGACTGAAGTGCCTTTTGGGAACAGTGAGCCCACTTCTCAAATCTCATTTTCTGCAGTCTCCAACACAAGTTCATCTACATTGCGCGTTACTGAGCACCAGGTCTATTTACCTGTACACATGGGTATCATCCCTAAACCTGGGTCTGACTTTCTAATGTCTAACTAGCTTCCCTTTATTTCCTTGCTACTCAATCACTAGTCTAAAAAATATACTCCTGCCCTGGTATTTATCCAAAGTACGATGCTGCACTATTTCTTTATGAAATGAGAATAATATTCAGGAACAGAACCTTATGAAGACTTACATGGTATAATTTTAGTTATGAACCAAAATACCAATCAAAATTCCGATTATATTGTAAATATCTGCCCTGTCTATTCACATACAGATGCTTGAGTTTTTTAATGAGAAGAGTCATGAGCTGAAAATAAATAGGAATAACAGACATAGTAAATTTTGAGGTTTAGTAGCCACCACTTATTGGTTGCTGAGACTCTGACGAGTGCCTACAACCAATTTCCTCTTTTTTCATGCAGGCAGGGTTTAGATTTTGTTCTGGCAGCTACCCTGTACTGAAAGACCTGGTCAACTGCCGGGTGCAGTAGTGCACCACCTGTAATCCCAGCAGTTTAGGAGGCTGAGACAGGAGGATCAAAGTCAGCCTCAGCATAAAGTGAGGTGCTAAAAAAACTTAGTGAGACCCTGTCTCTAAATAAAATACAAAAAATAAGACCAGGGATGTGGCTCAGTGGTCGAGTGCCCCTGAGGTCAATACTCCATACCCTATCCCCGCAAAAAAAAAAAAGATCTGGTCAACCTTGATGGATCTAAGATAAGCACAGCCCCCATTCTCCTTACAAGTCATTGGTTTAGGGGTGAGTGACCCAGTTGTGGCCAATCAGATGTGTGTGAAAAATCTCCTGGGTGCACCCACAAAAGAGCACTAGCTTTCAAAGAAGCACATGAGGAAGAAATGGCCTTTTTCATTCCCCTGGTGGTGGTAGTATCTGTATGCAGAGTCCAATCTTAGAATAGCCATTAAGAAGAGATCAGGAGGAGAAACAGGCCACACAATGCTAGGGATGACAGCCCAGTAAGATGGAAGAATTTTGGCCCCTTAATTAACTATCCTGGGACCACGTCGCCTCCAAACGCCTTACAATGTGAGATAATAGGTTCACTTGTTCTGTAAACTATTTTGAAATGCAAAATATGGTTACTCATGGCTGAAAGCATACTAACTATTACATTTATCCAAATCTATACAGACTCACCCTGAACAGGCAGAGTGTGAGTTTGTGACTTAAAATGAATCCAATTGTCACGAACTCTGGAACTCTGCCTAATAACCTTTGAATCAAAGCAAAACAAGGTTTAGTGGTACCTGTAGCACAATAAGACTTTCATTTTAAATTAAGTCTCATTTCAAGAAACTTGCAAAGTTTTGTGGCATTTATCAGATTTGGGTCGATTACACCATAAATGAAATACTAAGGCAGTCCTTAAAAACTGTAATGAACTTGGTCAGCCAGATGATGTCAGCACCGAAGCAATTGAGCTTCAATAAAGCTAAAGTGCCTTCACAGTTTGGTGCTGGTGACAAAGGTATTCCATGTGAAAACTGCCAAAGCATTTTATGTGTCCTCATCTGCTGACCTTGGCATTGGACATTACGGAAAACAGCTGATTCACACTAATATGGTTCAGCAAAGAACTTTTATTAAAAGTTCTAACCTGAGGCCTTAAATTTCATGTATGCAATTCTCATTGAATTCAGTATAGTTTGGGGTTTCACAGCTGCTGGAAAGGGTATCAGGTGGCAGGGATACTTGCTAATAAGATTAAAAATTGAACTGTAAATTGGCTCGTATTTGCATGGATTATCACATGCTCAAGAATCAGAATTTCTGTTTGGCCTCCGTTCAACCATGTGTCTCTCTTATTCTGCCCAAATTGATCTTGATGATGGTTGGTGAACTCAAATTACCCCACAACACATACAGTTTTCACCAAATGAGGGGGCAGAATCTCAATGAGAGAGATAACAAGGCAAATGTTCAGCAAGGAAGTCTCACAGCACAGCTGTGTCCAACAGCTGCTCTTTTTAATATTCCTTTTAAAGGGACCCAGGCTTCACTCTACTAGTGGCTTCTAGAATGGTAGGAGAGGGAAAAAGTAGTCGCAGTAAGGGGAAAAAAGATCCAGTCAGAACCCCATAAAGGTTTGAGGAACACTATATTGGAATATCCCAATAGAAAATGCTCCAAAAAGCACAAAAGATACTCATCACCACCAGCCACCAGAGAAATTCAAACACAGACCACACTGAGCTACTATTTCACACTCATCAGGATGATGACAGTCAAAAAGATGAACAATAGCAAGTGTTGGAGAGGATGTGCAAATTTAGAATCCTCATATGTCACTAGTGGAAATGTAAAATGACAGCCACTTTAGAAATGACTGGTAGTTCATCAAAATGTTACATATAGAGTTACCATATGACCCAGCAGTTTCACTCTTGGGTCTGTCTACCCACCAGACCTACAGCCATAAAAATCTGTACATGAGCTGAGCACAGTGCTAAGTCTACATTCTAGCTCTCAAGTGGCTGAGGCAGGAGGATCACTTGAGTCCACGAGTTCAAAGTCAACCTGGGCAATACAGTGAAACCCCATCTCAAAAACAACCATAAATGAACAAATTTGTACACAGATGTTCATAGCAGCATTATTTGTTATAGCCAAAAAGTATAAACAACCCAAATGTTGATGTACGTCAATGTCTATCAATGGATAAACAAAAGGTTGTTATATCCATACAATGAACACTGGAACAATAAAAAGGAATGAAATGTTGATACATCCTAAAATATGGATGAATTTCATGAATCTTGAAAATATCATGCAAAGTTAAATAAGCCAGTCACAAGAGGATAAATATTGTTTCTAGTTATATGAAATAGCCAGAACAGGCAAATATATTTAAAAAAAGTTAGCAGTTGCCTAGGATTGGAACGGGGTATGACAGCGAAAGGTATGAAGGTTTCTTTGGGGGATGATAAAAATGTTCTAAAATTTGGTAGTGGTGATGGCTGTACAACTCTGAATATATTAAAAATTACTGAAGTGTATACTTTAATAGGTGAATTATATAGTATGTGAATTTTATATGTTAATAAAGGTGCTTGAAAAGAAAAAGAAAGAGGCTTATGAAAGACAGGAGAAATATTCTGAGAAGGCTAAGTCTAAGAAACTTGTCCTGGCTGAAAAACCAGATGGTGGGGCAATTCTCATGCCACTAACAAGTCGCAATGATGTGAATAAGCAGCTCACCAATCCAGATGTAGGGTGGCATTCCTTGGCATGGCCACTGCCCCCACCATCAGACATCCTACTTAAGTGTCTTCCAGCCATCAGTCAGATGGTCTGGGAGGCTTGAGACCTACCAGTCAATCACTCAATCATGGCTTTTATTGGTTCACAAGGAGACTGGCACCTGATGAGAGTTCAGAAATAACACAAATAATCACAGAAAGGAATAGTCACTGAAGTAACCAAAGCAGACTCCTTTAGACACCTAGCTACTCTATCGGTAGACTATCACACTGGAAAACATCGAATGGGCACAAACTTGGGACTATCCAAACATGACAGAATTCTTACTTCCAGAATTTTATGATTAGCTGAATTTAAAACAAAACAAACAACATCAGAAAAAAACAAAAACAGTCTGACCTTCATAGTCTCACATTTTAAGCAAAAAAAAAAAAAAAAGAATCACATTAGGCATAGAGTTATGGGACTAAAATATCTCAGCTACAGTAGCTTTTTAATTACAATAAATATCACATCTCATGATAGAACTTTTAAATTTACAGATCAAAGACACAATTAACATGAGGATGCAGCTTTCTCAGCCAAAGCCAGAAGAAAAACTATTTACTCTCACAAAGCAGTAAGAAAAAAAGGAACTGAGGAATGCTCTACAGTTAGCAGAAAGAAGAGGCACCCTTACTGTCTTTTGAGTAGAAAGTCTACTTGTTCAGAAGAGAGACTAAGAGGGCAAAGAGTGAGCATGAGGAACAGGTACTGTCCACCCTCACAAAGGAGGGCAGTGAGGCAGCATATAGGGCCTCTAAGCTTCTGAGAGGGTTTTCAAAGGACAGGTGTTTGGAGGGGCTTTTGGTATCAGAAGGAATAGGAAAAGGAAGGGGGAAAGTGGGTCCTCAAGTAGGCAGGAGTAAAAACTGAGGAAGAATAGTTTGTGGGGAAGGGAGATAAAAGGGAGTATCTACCACCACCAAGCTCCTTTGGCTAGGAAAAACTGTCAAGTGTGCCAACATCTGGGTGAGAGAGGTAAGGCATAGGAAAGGCCCTGGGCAGGTGAAGCTGTAATTCCAAAGCTGATCTGGGACTGGCAGCAGGTACTCAGAAATCCAGGTCAAACACGGGGAGGTGAGTGGACACAAAATAAAAACTGGGTGAGTTAGATTTCCCAGTATACTGGTATCAGAGACTCGGAGGAAGCCCTATGCCTATGTAGATAAAGTTAAGAACACTTTGAAAGAAGGTCCCTTGGACCAAGTAATGAGCTAGATGAAAGTCTGGGTAGAGGCCAGTGAAGACTTGGAGCTGATGGGAAGTGGCCACAGAACTGGGTAGGAAGTTATGAGAAGCCTGGGGGAAGAGGGCAGCTGGGTGCCTGGACCATTAAGAAACTGAATTAGGAGGTGGTATCAGGGACCCCAAGGGGTAAGGTCCTAACAGACTGGTGAAGAGCTCCACTCTGGCACCCAGGGTGTGAGTACTTGGTTTATTTGGAGACAGGGACGAGGGAGGGATCAGTGTGGATTCGGGGCTCTCAGCCAAAGGAGGGAGGATGCCCCCCCAGTCTCAGGAGGCTGATCAACCTCTCCTACAGAGGAAACCACCAGAGCGGGGAGGTCCCAGGGTCTGAGAATAGGGGATCCTGTCTCAGGTCTGGCAGAATCTGGCCTGGGCCCCAAGTCTGGGGAAACCAATGGAGAGTTCTTCAGGGTCTGAGAGGGACTGGTGTGGGGCGACAGGTCTGGGGAGGAAGGACCCAGGCCAGAAGACGGCCAGACAAGGCAGGGCTTCCGGATCCCCGGGATTCAAGTCTGGACAGTGTTCAGGGTCTGCCAGGAGCCGGTCACCACAGGCTCTGGGTCCGAGGGGCAGCTCAGGTCTGGGGCTCAAGAGTGTGTGAGACACCGGCGCAGCAGGTCCCGGGTGGAAGGCGCCGGGTGCAGGAGGCCCCGGCGGTGAGGGCCTGGTCCGCGGCTGCGGGCTCGAGGAGCCGAGGGCGGGCACGG